ATTTGCCTGTTTTTATTTTCCCTTGCAGTGGCAAAACAATCCTACATAATTATGGGAGAAAAAAAGAAAGCTCTTCTCTGAATTTTTGTGTTGGGAACATAGGAAGACAAAAAGTTACCTGGTCTAGCCTGTTTCTCCAGAGTGAAATGAAAGAAAAACGGATTTTGGCGGCTGCTTTAAGAGTTTGGTTCCTGGTAAGGGGGCTGGTCTACCCTGGTGTGGGAGAAGGAGGGGTGAAGACTGGAATCCCAGTTAGGTCACAGACAAAAAGAAACCAGGAAGTAAAGAGATATTGTTACAATCTAAACGGAACTCAGGATGTTAAAGGCAGCAGCCTCTGTAGGTTGGTTACTCATTAGCGAAAAGGAAGGACTAGTGGGCCCCACTGGAGCGAGGCGAGCAGCCGGGACTTGGGGCGAGACCTGCTGGCACGGGCCAGGCAGGAAACCACCTGGGTTAGTGTCTTTCTTTTACTGACATTTTCTTGGGGCACAGGGCAAAGCAGCTGTTTTCTTATCTAAATAAACCTCTCCCTTTACATCTTTCGACCGAGCAGCTATCCAGTGCCCACTGACTTCTGCTGGGGAAGCTGCGGCCGCATACAGCAAGACAGGGTGAGTCTCCAGGCCAGAGCTTGCTGCAGCCAGGGCTACAGGACTTGCATATTCTCCAGAGTATGGTGAACTGGACCTGATTTCAGAGTTGCCTGGTGTTGGAAGAGAAAGGGGACCTACGACAATTGCGGGAGAGGGAAGCCTCTCCCCTGCTACTGGCCAGGCCACCATGGGGAACGTCTGTTTGAGGCTCCGGGCATACTTGCAGCCCTACCTCCCCTGTCTGTCCCAGGACGTCGACAGCTCAGTGGTGATCGAGAATCCAGGGGCCCGCTGTGCCCCGGAACCTCCACGGTCTCCGAAGCAGAAGCTGGAGCAAAGCCGTGGCCAGTACTTTGTTGCTCTGTTTGATTACCAAGCTCGGACTGCGGAGGACCTGAGCTTCCGGGCAGGAGACAAACTTCAAGTCCTGGACACTTCCCATGAGGGCTGGTGGTGGGCCAGACACTTGGAGAAAAGGGAAGACAGCTCTGGCCAGCAACTGCAGGGCTATATTCCTTCCAACTACGTGGCTGAGGACAGGAGCCTGCAGGCAGAGCCGTGAGTAGTGTGCACCACACTTGATTTATTAACCCTCCCAGGGTTGGTTAAAGACTTTTCTTTCCTACCTATGACCTCTTAATTGCCAGGTGCTTAGAAATTATGTGGAAGTACTGGTAGAACCCACTAATTGAAACATACCTTTCCTACCTCTCCTGCGAAGTAAGGGTGAAACTGCCAGGTAATTGTTGCTGAAATGACTTTGATTAGAGTGTGTGCACCCACAGGCCAAGGGCGCATTTCCATCAGCACAAGCAAATGGTGGGTCTAATACCTTAACTCTTTCTTCACTGTAAAATAACGCATGCCTCACTTTTAGAAAAGAACTGCATTTCACTTGTGGATAAATCATAAGACTTTTCTAAACCATACTTTCAGATCTAAAGTACAGTTCTTTTCTGTTGTTTTGTTTTGATTTTTGTTTTAACTTTGAGACATTTCAGAGTGATACATCTGCTCTAGTCCTGATGCTTGTCTTAATCCCTTTCATCCTGATAGGCACACATAGGCTAACCAATGTAGGTGACAACATCTGGGCTATACTAATTTTTCTAATAAAATTGTGACAGAGACATTTTTCACTGAATTTCCAGAACCTAAGTTATGCTACTCAATCTATGATAATTTTGCTTATTATGATTAAAAGCTGGACAGGTACAGATTTTTTTTCTGGTTGTTATTAGTACATGTTTGCAGTATATAATTATTACATTGCATGTGGGAGTTGGTATAAGTACATAACACATCTTAATTCTTCTTTTATCCCCTTCCCTTCTCTCCCTCCCTAGCCTTCCCTCCACCTCATGGTCCCCTTCCCTTTTGCAAAAGATCTATGTCCTCATTGCTATCTTTTATTTTGCTCTTTATTTATATTTGGGGTTTCTCATGTAAAAGAAGCCATGCAACATTTAAGAATGTGAGTCTGATTTATTCCAGTTAACATTATGGTCTCAAGCTGCATCCATTTTCCTACAAATGACTCAAGTTTATTATTCTTTATTTTGTGTGTAAATGCCATACTTTCTTATCCATCCATTAGTTGATGGACATAGAGGCCTCTCCTAATATTTAGCTGTTACGATTTGTATTGTTATACACATTGCTATGCACGTGTCATGGTAATGTACGTCTTTAACTCTTTGGGGAGATACCTAGAAGGGGAGCAGCTGGGTCAAATGGAATTTCTAGTTTCAGTTTTCTGAGGATTCTCCATGATGGTTTCCATAGTGGTTGTACTAGTTTACTTTCCCACCAACAGTGTAGAAGTGTTCCTTTTCCCCACAGCTTCACCAGCATTTGTTATTATTTGGCTTCTTGATGATGGCCATTCTTTCTGGGGTGAGATGGAATCAAATGCTGTTTTAATATGTATTTCTCTAAAGGGCCAGAGATGGTGAACATTTTTACATGTATTTATTAGCCATTTGCACTTCTTCTGAGAGATAATCATAAAATTTCTACACAGGAATCGATAAATATTTTATCCTGGAAAGAACAAGACAAAAAAGAAGAAGAAAAAATAGAAGAAGGCTGCTTTATCCTGGTACTGGAATAAATCCTATGAAGTGTAGTGGAACAAAGGAAGAAAATTTTATATACTTTTCCTTTCATCCATGCACACATCCATCATCCCAGAGCCAGGCACAGGAGGAGTATGGTGCATGGAGAGTGATAGTTGAATATAAAGTAGGTCAGGTGTAGTCTTCACAGTGGATATGTGGAGTTTGGTGGATTGGGAAACAAGTGGAGGCTTTTTAGCCCCAATCTTGTGCTTAGGTTCCAGTGAGACCTAAGACTGGAGAATGTCTCTCAGGAAATGGACTCATTTTAGGGACTGATTTCTGAATGGAACAATCACTGGGGATTTGCTCATGTTTTTATGTAAGTGTATTTTCTTTTCATGTCAGCTGCAATATCCTTTACTTTCCCAGGGAATGAGATGGTAGAATACAGCCATGGAACATTCTTGCTGGCCTCCAAACTCATATGTATAAATGTGAAGGATGGTTTGGATTTTCTGAGATCTTTACAACACCATGTGCCTATAAATATTAATCAA